GAGGGAGGGAGGAAGAAGGGGGAGGAAGAAAGGAAGTGAGAGAGGAAGGAGGAAATAGGGAGGAAGGAAGGAAGGAAGACGGGAGGAAGGAGGGAGGAAGGAAGGAGGGAGGGAGGAAAGAAGAAAGGAAAGAAGGGAAGAAGGAAGGAATGATGGAGGGAGGAAGGAAGGGGGAAGGGAGAGAGGAAGAAAGGAAAGAAGGGGGAAGGAGGAAGGTGGGAAGGAGGGAGGGAGGGAGGGAGGGAAGAAGGAAGGAAGGAAAGAAGGGAGGAAGGACGGATCACCGGCTTGCTCACCCACCTTTTCCCTTAGCTTTGGAGCTGGGAGGAGTCCTCAGGGCAGGCTGGAGAGTACTTGCTTCCAGGTAACCTAGTTTGCAAGTCTAATGCTGGCTATCAGGAGTGGTTTGCCACAGGGGTGTGCTGAGGGTGCCGGGCTGAAATGGGGATACCAAAAGGCCTGTGAACACAGCAGCATCCACAGAATAAGTGTGTCTCTGTGCGGTGTCCCATTGCTTTGACAAGGAAAAGACAGAATTGCTATATCTGGCATGGTTATTAAAAAATCCAATCACTGCAATTTACAGCAATGTTTTCAAACTGTGTTCAATGGTACTGATGAGTATTTACAGCAGAGTGTACATGTGAGTGTATGTTGTGTGTTGTGTGTGTACGTATGTCTGTTGTGTGGTGTGTGTACCCATGTGTGCTGTGTGCTGTGTGTTTCCTGTGATTTGCATGTTGTGTATTGTCTGTGTTGCACGTATTGTGTGTGCTGTGTGTATCGTGTGTACAGGGGAGGTCCAGAGTCAAATAACTATAGTCACTGGATTAAACAAGTTTCTGTTCTATCTCTTAGGACCCCTGGTGCCTCAGCACCATTTCACAAGCCAGCATGGGGAGTGCCCAGTTTGGCAGCCCCCAAATCCCCAGAGGAGTGGTATGTTCCTGTGAGAGCTGCTTCCCCCTGGGGGGGCACCCTCAGCACTGATCTGGCCTCTCTAGGTGCAGCCAGGTCTGCCTGAGTGAGAGAGCCAGAGAGCTGGCAGGGTACGCAGCTGTGGTGTGGATGCAGCTGTGGTGTGGATGCAGCTGTGGTGTGGATGGAGCTGTGGGGTGGATGGAGCTGTGGTGTGGACGCAGCTGTGGTGGGGATGGAGCTGTGGTGTGGACGGAGCTGTGGTGTGGACGGAGCTGTGGTGTGGACGGAGCTGTGTTGGGGATGGAGCTGTGGTGTGGACGGAGCTGTGGTGTGGACGGAGCTGTGTTGGGGATGGAGCTGTGGTGTGGACGCAGCTGTGTTGGGGACGGAGCTGTGGTGTGGATGGAGCTGTGTTGGGGATGGAGCTGTGGTGTGGACGGAGCTGTGGTGTGGACGCAGCTGTGGTGGGGACGGA